GGCGCACGCGGACTTCCGTCTGCAACAACTCTGCTGCATTCTAATTAAATCTCTCAACTTTATTTCTTCTACGGTATGATAGTACCAAAATATGCCCAGATGGATTATTCTTCACGTGCCATGGGTCTGCAGGATTAGAGCAGCTGCTGGCATCCCACCCCGACGCCGTAACATGATGAGACCGGTTAATTATTTTAGGCCATGATTCTCAACTGGATCGAGAGCAGCCCTGTTTGGTTGACTGCAAAAGCAATAGCTTGGTTTCCGCAGCTATATTTTAAGTTGAGTTTAGATGTGTTTACTACTGGTGTTCTTGAACGTATTGAACCAGAACTGTTCTGAACACAAGTCTAGACACTGATCTCTTTGTTCAGAGACAGCCAGAACTTCTGACTGTGCTGATCTTTGCCTCAGAGCTCCTTCTGCCCAGACAGCTGAGTGAGAGGAGAACAGTAGGCAGACTTCACGGATGGGAGCTGAATGTGCAGACAGCTCTTTGGTCACTCTGCTCCTTTGTGGGACTGGTTTTGAAGCTGCTGGGGCAACTCTGGGATTTTTGCAACCCACGCCAGCACATCTGTTGGCTGGCATCTGAAACTTATTCCCCATGTCCAAGAGCTGAAGAACCTGCAAGTCACCTGCAGTTTGAGGGCTACGGCTTAGCTTTCTGGTTTGGATAGATTCATCTGCATTTCTGTATTAACTAAGGTGCCTTCTATGAAAGATTGCCCTTCCCCTTTTTTAAATATGATACTGTCTTTAGAAAAGAGGGAAGTTTTTTTCATTTTTCTTGGAGGTCCCTGAAGTAAAACAAAAAAGTTTTTGAGTTTTTTTTAAGCTGCATTTGGTTTTGGTGTTTTCCCCCTCCCCTCTGCCCAAAGCCATTGCTTTTTGCTTGTTGTATTACAAATGTGACTTCTGGCTGTTGTTGCAAAGATATTTTAAAACTAGTGTTACCAACCAGTATGGGAGGAATTCCTACAATGAGGGTGGTGAAACACTGGAACAGGTTGCCCAGAGAGGTAGTGGAGGCCCCATCCCTGGAAACATTCAAGGCCAGGTTGGATGGGGCTCTGAGCAATCTGATCTAGTTAGCAGTGTCCCTGCTCACTGCAGGGGGGTTGGACTAGATGACCACTAGTGGTCCCTTCCAACCCTAAACATTCTATGATTCTATGATTCTATGAATTATTTTAGGCCATGATTCTCAACTGGGTGTAAATCAGCCCAGTTTGGTTGACTGCAAAAGCAATAGCTTGACTATGACCAGTAGAGGTTTTAGTAAGTAAAACGTTATGTACAGAACTGTTTATGACAGGACCTTTTTAAAAACATTTCTATAAACACTTTTAAACTTCAAGACATTCTGTGGATGTTATTTAACTCTTTCCACACCCCGACGCATGAGGCTTGAATGCCATTTCGATGTACTACTGCAATGTTGTTTAAAGACAGGGTTCAGAAAAAAAAACCTGCCTCAGAAGAAAACCAAAACTCTCAACTTTTGGAGTTTGCTTTTCCTAATTAAGGTGACACACCTTTATCTAGTAAATATGCCACACAAATACAGGCAAGCAAATTGCATTTTGCTCCTTGCAAGAAACAGGGAGCTTGCCAAATTCTGCATTTCAGCGGTGGGCAACAGCCTCACAGCCAGCCCTGCCACGGCGTGACCACCACCGAAGCTGCTCAGATCCTCGGTAGGGATTTCCTCTATCTTCTACAAAATGCCCTGCAGACATCTGTTTCTAGTGTAGCTATTTCCCTTTCCCAGCACCAGAGTGCAGCCAGGTAGGAGCAGCAGCTCCTTCTCCTCCCATAAAATAAAGCTTCTTGCTAATAAAACTTCTCCAGCGAGGACTGGCAAACAACCCTAAAGAAAGCTGGCTTTCTTGGGCTTGAATTTATGAAAAGAGAAACACCGGGTATTTTAAAGTATCGAAACAGCAGAGGAATTCTGGCAGCTCGCTCCCCCTTTCTGCCAGAGCAGCAAGAAGAGCACAAGGGCTGCCACAAGCAGAGCTGTCAATCTGCCAAGAGCCAAACGCGCGATACGGTATAAAAGCGAGGAATGCACGAGAAACGAGAAAGCTAAAAATAATACGCACTTCTTAGACGTTCAGAAAGTGTCAAGTCCTCTGCCTGTTTCTCAAAATTACGGACTGAGCTTTCAAGTGCCCAATACACACGTACTTTTTCTGGTACATACCACGCATCAGAGGGCCACTCGCTTCGTGCCATCTTGTCTGCCTGAAAAGAGCTAGCAGAGTACATTTAGGTAACTGATTAGTGAAGAAAACAAAGCGCAGCCTTGGGAGACAGGCAGATCTTTTGTCTAATATATAGGACACCGGAAAAATGGTATCACATAAGCGAGACGACATTTGTTTTCCAGAAATCACTTCTGAGTCTCAGGTTTCCAAAGAACACACCTGAGAGTAAACAACACAATGCGAAGCCTGCTCAGAGCCAGAGCAATCCCTCACCTGCACTCACACAGGCAGAGAGCACAGACGGTAGATTTTATAAAGATTTCTTGATGTAATGCCGATGTCAAAATCCCAGATCCCTTCAAACGTTACTCAGTATTGCATTTTTAGGGAAATTATAGTTTCTGTATCTTAATTGAGACTGAACAAGCCATCCATGCATTTGCACAAGTTTAATATATGTAACCATCTGGAATTGATTTTGATAAAAAGGTTAAAAACAATAGCAAGTGAACGGGTTCTTGCACCTTGTACTATACACATACAACAGAAGAAAACATGGATGCTGGCAAAACCCCATCACGATAACAAATCACCAATTCCCAAGGTGGAACATCCAGCTTGAGAGATCTGTTAAAATATTCTTGCTGGCTCAAGATACTTGTGATCTGCTTCCATCTGCTTTTTGTAAGTTTAGAACATGCTTCAATGACTTAAATTTAGAAAAAGAAGACAGATAAAAATGTAAATACTTACAGCCCAAGGCCACAAGATGTCAAACACCACCAGGGACTGATAACAGTAAAAATGCTATTTTTAAAATTAATTTCAAGTCATTCTGATATGATCTACTCATCTCTTCTGTTTTGTTGCCCATTTAGAGAGAAAACATATATTGATGTATCACAAAACCCACCAAGGACTTTTTCCCTCTGATACTATACTTACCTAGCCAAAACGTACCTTTAGTCTTCAGCCTTGGAATGCATTAATGTAAGATAAATAAGAGGTAATAAATGTATTTTTTGGTAATTTCCTTTCCTCTCCAAACATCAAAGAAGCTTAAAATACCACGGAAATGCATATCATAAATCCCCCAGACAGTGGAATTTATCACTCCCTTTCATATAAAGCACAACTAAAGCTTATAAAGCGTAAATTCTTTGTATAAAAACACAAAATAAAACCATGACAGAAGTGGTGAAAAAAAATAAGACTTTGAATCAGAGTACTGGACATCTTGTCTGTAAGTCACAAAATTCCCAGGATGCACTCCAAACTTTATTTAATTTCCAGTACATTATAATAATTATAAAAGAATCGTATGAAACCAGTGCCACGTGTAACTCATGACTTTATGTATATATATGCATATATTCAGAAAAGATTTATTATAATCACCAATCCTTTCAACATTAAATATGCCATCCTGAAATCTTTAATCGGATAAAAGGTCAGTACACAGAAAATTCTGCTTCAACCAGGACTGATTCTCATTCTTCTAAAGCAGATTAGGACTTCACTTCAGTGTTGACTCATTCATTTATTCCATGGTCGACAGCATGTTCACAGGACTGTGACTTGTCTATATATAAATATTGGAACAAACATTCAACGGGAAAATATACACCTCACGCCTAAATGTTCTTTTGTTTGTATTACTAAGAGTCTTAACATTTGAGTCCGGAGCCTCAACTGCTGTAAACTGGTCCAACTCAGCTGATTTCAGTGGCAATATGTTGATTTAGCTGATGATCTGGGTCTCTCTTTTATGCGTACGGATGGTCAGGCATCCTGGGGAACAGTTACCCTACCAACAGATCCTCTCACTTCCACGATGCCAACAACCTCTTTGAAATTGTCTGGCCAGATACCAAGCAGTTCTTGTCCATTACTCTGTGTTCTGATCCCCTTTTCACAAACAGTTCCAAAAGTTGGCTTTGTATTGTAGACCGTATTCTGCAAACCAGTTGGGCAATTCAAAAGCATATGAAAGCAATTAAAATTATAGTACTGCTGTGATAATTAAAACATTGCCAGCTGTATATAAGCCTATTCAAATGTACAGCTGTTACACGGGTAATGGAAAAAATACAAAAGCTTCAGATTCTGTGACCCGTAATTTCTCAGACTGCTACATTACAAACTCAGTTACCACCATCCTCGTTTCTGACAAAATGCCAAACCAATAATGTCCTTTTCTGTGCTTTCTCGTAAATAATTGGTTCCCCCATCATCTCTGCATAATAAAAATTGTAACATATTTTACAATGGTCTAGATGCCTCCTACGCTTGGTCACCTTTGTCTTCGGTTGCCATTGCCGAGTCTCTCTGCTGTTCTTCCGGATCCCCTGGAAGAATACTGGTGACTGTCTGGAGAAGTGACTCAATCTGCTCTTCTGTTAGCCTTTCCTCACTTTCTTCTACCATCTGCAGGTCAAAAAACAATATATTGTTATCATTAAATCCATACTTCCTTCCTCAGCTCTAAACAGAAGGACTCAACTAATTTGAAAAAAGTATTTCCTATGGGTGCAAGAGATAGCCTGAGCTCATTAGAAAAGCATTTTACAAAGTGGAACTCTTACAATAATTTAAAAAAGAAAGAAGAGCTCCATTGTTAACCACGACAATTGGCACTCCATAATGAGACCCTGCTTTCTTTACAAGGAAAACAACACACAAGGAACAGGCTTTCCTCCCTGGTTTCTCCTAAAGCCTCTCTCAACCTACACATCGGTGTCTTGAGCCAAGCTTTTCATTTAGCTCACGTGCAGAGCCACCTTCCAGAGCTGTTTTTCTAAGTTCCTGTGCTTTCATGCGAGAACTGAAATGATATAACCCGATAGTGGTTACCTGAACCTTGGTATCTTATCCAGCGCCTGGACTATAAGTAATTAGGCCATAAAAGAAGCCATCTAATCCTACAGCAGCCATACTTTAGTGGAATTTACTTAGATTGTGAGATTCTTGAATATAAAAGCATATAAAAGCTCTGGGCAACACAAAACATGCTGTCACGAATCAACAATAAAATTCCGTAAGATTAATTAGGGACCTACTCTCACTGTGGAGCTGTGGGAACTCTTATATCACTGCTACCAGTAAAAACAACTGCCCTAATTTACAGGCAGCTGTTAAAAGGAAAAGCTTGTCAGAGGACTGGAAAAGCAAGCCAAATGAACTCTTCAAACGCAAATGAAACCAATTAGGATTGTGGCGTTTGAGATTTTCTTTTTTATACAAAGTCCTTTAAAATGTCCTTTGAAGAGCAGTGATTTATATTAATTATTGTTCCAAGTCAACACAGGTTTAATCAGTTCTAGCTATCAATTGTCAGCTATTCAGATGCATCTTGCCTTCTAAAAAGCAGAGTGGTATATTCAATTAATTTTTATTTTCTTCAATGTCCTATGAGCCCTCTTTGCACAATCTGATCATCTTTCATCAGCCATTATCCACAGACCCTTGACAAGAGGAAAGCAAGCACGCTCAAATCCATTCATGTAGCCAAAGGCAGGCAGCGAAGATCCAATTGCAAATGGCTGTTTCTGGGGAGCATCCTGATCAAAGGATGATATTCTCTGTGGAGTGGCTTTCCAACTACAGTTAGTTCAAGAACTAACAGTAGGACCCTGGCTTGAAAAACAGCCCTGGCTCTTGCTACCACCAGCTGCAGTACTATACACTACGAGTTAAAATAGACTAAAAATTCCTCCCAACATTACCCTTCTGTGTAAGCAACTGCTGCAGCTACTGAAGTGATATCAGATAATTGCCTGCTAGACTGCATTACAGAAGTGATCATCTCAGCAGCTTGACCAGCAGCACACCTTGGAGGATCAACATTATACAGTAAAGTATGTTACAGTGCATAAATACACTCTTTGTTGCCAATAGCGCTGACAAAGCCACTACTCTACAGATGACCGACGCTATTAAGTTTTGTAGAGGATTATCAGTCTGGTTTTTGTACTGGATTATGGTGTTATTAATTACTGTTACATTGCACTTTAAAGGTGACAGCCCCACAGGAACCGTACAAAGAAAAAGCCTGCATCCTCTGGACAGGTAGTATCACTTAAGGCAGAATGGTTTATCTCTTAGTGGCCAATGTCTCCTGCATTTGTTACCATCCCATTGCTTTCTGATCCTCAGAAAAATGGCACCTTGCCTGGTTTAGATTTTATTTATTGGATCATGTGAAGTCCACCTCTCCTCCCCATTCGAATTTTATCCCTCCCTATACATCTCCTTTCCCTTTCTTCTCCAAATACTTTCTCCTGTAGGTGCTTGCTTCGGGTAGCCAGAGTTAAACAGAACGATTTGATCAGAACTTAAACAGATAATAGAGAGTGATTTCTAGATCAGCATCAGCTCCTCTCAACTTCTGCATTTAAGGCAGAATATACTTACGCAAGCATCTAATCACTGCTTCTTATGTGCTCCTGAGTGCTCAATGAGTAACACCCCAACTCCCAGTATGAACAACCATGTTGATGTCATTTGTACTGGCTGAGCATGGGAGCCTGCAGGACTGAAAAACTGCAGACACTACTTGGGACATTGATAGGTGAGCTCTGGTGATTGCTCTGGCAGTTTAAGAAATCACACTTCACCAGAAAGTTGATGAAAGAAAATAGTCTCTCATGTTTCAAGATGCTTTGGTCCTGTAACTGATGTCTCATTAAACTGTTGAGAAAAGCATCTTTAAAGAAAGATGTTGGATACTGCAACAGAGGAACAGGTAAAGTAGTTCCAAATTTCCTTCTGACAGACCTGTAGTCTCTGCCAGAGGGAAATGGTAATTCCTTAAACTGTGCAGCAAATTCATCAACAGCTCTCAGTGCCTCCGAGCCGTGCATCCTCACTGCCAGCTCTCACACCAGGAATTGCCAATAGACAAAAATCTACATTTGGCAGGATGGACAGCTACTTATTCAAGCTGATGCTTCAGCGCTATTTTGCTGTGATGGTATTCAAGAATTCAAAAGATCAAAAGCATAAGCTATAAAAATCAATTTTTTTCACTCTTCAGGGAAACAGCCTGAGCAGCGACTTATGAAAACATAAGCAATTAGGAAGCAGCAAAGCAGCATGTCAAAAGGAAAAATTCAAAAATTAAGCAGAGAGAGCATGTAGATAAAGGAGACAAATGAAACTGTCCTAAAGGAAAACAGGTATCAAGGGGAAGAGGAGGTCACTTAGAGGCTTATTCTAGGTCCAACAGGTGTTCGCACAGTCTTCTGATTTACAACTGTAAGACAAAATACCTTTGCTAGTGATCATACTAGGAAATAATTTCATGATGCTCAGAAGAGGAATTAGGCGTAAGAAAAAGCCTAGAGGCAAAAAGAAACAATTGTATTCAAGTACCTACTTTTCCAGCAGGACTTTTACCAATATATGAAAAAACATCTATCAAAAAGCCTTGCTAACCTCTAACTTGCAGTTGCCTGAATCCGCTCAAGAGACAGATCCAAACCATAAGTAGTCAGGAATGCAAAGTTTATATTAAGGAAAACAAAAATGCAAATGTTTTTAATAAGCATATGACATAAGATGTTTATGTTGGCATTGCCACACACACCAAATGGAAATACATCATCCCCACAGATGATGCCATGTGCAAAGTGTAGGGTATCATCAACCAAAGCTCCACTGAACTGTGTATTTTCAGTATTCAGGGGTTTGTGCAAGTAACAGAATTGGACAACATTACAGTAACACAACTGATAGATAAAAAGCACCCTGATGTGCAGCAAGACAAGCATGTCTCCTTCTCAGGGCTGAGAGCAAGGATTTTCTTGAAATGAACACAGAGAAAGGCAGTAAGTCATGTCAGCTCTGCTGCTGCTTGTAATAAGTAATTCCCAAGTCATTAGTGCTTTTCAGCATTTGAGTCTATACTATCCCAAAATAATAACTACAGTGGTTTTGTAGCAAATGTTACAGTAAAACAATGTCATTCCTACATACACACAGCATTTATTTTCTACGAAATGCAACTACGTGGTCAAGATCAGCTCAGTCAAGTCAGGCCTCAGTAACAACTTCTATTTCACTCAAACTAGTAACAGTTCGTTATAAAACTCATTGCAATATATTCACGTATACAAAATATTCAGAAAGCAGCTGAAGCCACTGTACTGCTCACCTCTGAGAGCAATGCTACCTTTATTTAGAAGTCTAATAACCGATTTTTCACCTGCTTAAGTACAACTGTGAAGCCACAGCTTATGTATTGACTTAATTTCAAGTATTCAAGAGGTCCAACTAACTTAACTGGACCTTAAGCTTAAAATTAGGCAAACATTTACTAAATGGAGAGTACGTCAAGAAAAGGATGCCAGTTATGTTTTGCCTCTCCAGAAAGGCCTATGCATGGGCTTTCTAACACAGCAAAATGAAACATGCAGCCAACGTCCATAACTGAATCTTGCTACAAGAGCATGAAAAGACAAATCGCTCGTCAACTGCAGAATTAAACACTGGCAGATGCCTTGCTCAGTACTATTAACCGCTGCTGGGAACCAGAGCTGTGCTTATTAAACAAATGTGTATGGAATATTTTACTACCATGCAGCCTTTCCCAGCTGCACATTTTAACAGTAGCTTTTTTTCAATCGAGCACTATGTATGAATTTCTCAGAGGAACAAAGCAACCATAATTACCAAATCAGAATGTAATAATAGAATTACATTAAGCAGTAAGTCACACTAAAAGCTGCTGATGAATTTTCATGGCAGAAAGTGATTTTCAAAAGCTTTTAAAGATTTTATTTATCAAGAAGGTAAATCAGAAAATAACAGCTAGCCTGACTATCAAGATAATTTCAATGATTACAGTGTTTATTCATAAAATAAATGTGCAGATCTGTATGTCTGTAGTGGCATGTACACACATAAGCACAAAATATGAACATAGACATATATATATATATATGCATACTTGTCTAGATTTTTTTACTCAGTGAAACAAGGACAAACATTTTCGGAACATGCTTCCCCTAATTATAACCATACCTTATCTTTCCTGCTTACCCAAGTAAACGCAAAGTGTAGGAGAATTCATCATCCTCCCCGTGTTTCTTTCAAACTTTCAGTGCTAATGTTTATTTCATTTAGCCTCCTGAGACATGGCAATACACTGCAAATGTTGAAGAATAAATAAAGCCACACTGAAGAACCCTAAAATGTTCTGAAAGAACTGAGAGACTGTCTCAAGGATAAGGAATATTTGATGGGTAACAAACCTCAGCATCGCAGAACAGAACAATCTGTGGGTTAAAAGCTATTGTTTATTTGAGTAATAAGCTAAGAATTCTATTTAAAAAATAATCAGTAAACTACAGTAAAAAAGGAAATAGGGGTTCTGATCACTTCCAAAGCTATCAAGCACATGATTTAACTGCAGTGTAGGAGGTACATATTTTATGAGAAAATGACTGCTATTTCCTCCTTTGAGCAGTAATTTGAAATGGTTCAGCACCAACATGCTAATAGAAAAAAATGCATAAAAAAGAAATAAAGTAAAAGACTGAATGATTGGATTAATGTCCCTCAGAGATAATTAACCAAGTATGCAAAGTGGGAAGCAAAATATATCGTGGAGGAAATAAAATATTTAAATCCTCTAACATCTTCCATTTTCCAGAAGAATACTTTACATTATTATTTTCTATTCAACAATAAAAGACAATCTGCCAGGCTGGTTATGCAGAGCACGTATCACGAGGTACAAAGCTCTCTGAGATGGAAATCTACTTTTAAAAAGCACAGAATTAAAAACTACTCTTCCATTCAGAAAGAAAAATGTGGAGCAATTTGTTAATTAACAAAGATGATGCTTAATCTCCAAATCCATCATGGTTCAGCATTAAGTAAAGCTGGACCACTGTCACGGTTAGATCAACATCACTGTCTTTTTTTTCCTCCTTTGTGAATCACTGAGCCAGGAACAACACATGTTAAAGATTAAAACAGGAGGTCAAGATAGCTGCAATGTGTACAGTGTCTTACCCTGTGGGATATGAATTAAAATTTCATGCTTCTTTTGTTGCTATTGTTATTTGAAAATAAATCCTGGCACACAGTCCGGAAAAGACAAATATGAACAATTACAGCAATTTATGCATAAAGACTTACAAAAGAACTTGAGATCAAAAGATCGCAACATAAATTTGCTTTTTAGCTTAAATATAATTTTATCAAAATTGATTTATTGTTTGCATACAACTAAAGACAGGGAATTTTATAGAGGAAAAGTAAAAAACCAAAAAGCTGGAAAGGCAAAAAAGCAACAAGAGGTAGTAAATATAACTATCCTCTCATATCAGCTATTAAAAGCCTATCAGGTAAATGTGACTCCATTCCATGGATGGGCAGCACCGAGTAAAAGTTTGAGACATCAAAACTATTTAAGCAAGTGAGAGAGATAAAGAGAGAGAGAGAGATGGCTTCTTTGGCAACTTGTTTAAAGCTGGCTTTTTAAAAAATAAGATTGATTTGCCTACATTATAGGAAGTGGCCAGAAGTTTTCATCACCATTTCTTTCTGATTTCAGTCCCAGGAGTGATTCAAAGCTTTTGAGTGGCAGGGGCAAGTTCAATATAAAGAAAATGATGGCAATTTTAGACCCAGTATTCGCTTCCCTGTAGGCTCTCATCCATCGACTGCAGCGAATTGACTTGCCTGCATGAAATCTGCGTATGGGTCATCTCCCTACCGACATCAAAGAAGAAAAGCACTGGTAGAGTCCACACCTCGGCATTATTTTATACTCAGAGATGCTCAGAGAAGATAGAGGTTTTCTGTGTTCAAAGACACTGTACTGCTACAATCTCTCTCCCCTGTCCTCACCAGAAACCAAAGTGATTCAAGACAGCAACTGAACAGCAAAATAATTTCCTTGCTATTGCTCCTAGTCTCTGTATTTCACTAACGAAAATGGCCTGCAGTTTCCTAGCAGTTACTGAGCTCAAAAGACTTTGATGTGCTTTGATGAAAGAGTAAGTGTACTGCAATTTTCAGGAGGTTTAATTTAACAATCCAGTCAATGTAGTTTACTGTAATACTAGTTTTGGAGAAACTTGCCCTGGAATTACAGGGGTATCGTAATGGAAAAGAAGTAATTGCATCCCCAATACCTCCATGACGATACAAATTCAGGCTAGTCCCCAAACATATGAACATTATATTTTTCACAAGTTGCTTCTGATCATCAGAGAAGGGTTATGTTATCAATAATGGGCTGACACTGAACTCAAACCTTGTATCTGTATTCTGGAAGTTTTAGCAAGGAGTTTTATCTAACTTTGACATTACAAATTCTGGAATATCTAAAACGCGACAGTCTCCAGAAATCTGACTTGTAATATAAAGGCCCAAATTTCTTATACTTGCCTCCTGGACTTCAAACATGACACAGGAGCAAAACTATTTTCAGTATTTTATGGATAGGTAAGATAATGAGGAACTAGGTAGGATAATGAGGGGAGGAGAGAAAAGACAGACAAAACCAGAGTCACCTGAAAGCAGCAAAAATTACTGCATTTAAAAAAAGGGGAAAAAAAGACAGTACATGACCTACATGGGAGTGTAACAAATCTGTGTCTAAGCGCATGAAGCTAATAAAGGTGTGAGACAGGCTCTACATCATCACTTATGACTAACTTCCTAAGCAAAACTCATGAAGCCTTAATGCTCTTGGTTGGGTTGATGACTGATGCTGATCTCTTCAATCACAAAACACAGTATTAATTCCTCAGCTAGAAGCCAATCTTTTACGAGACGCCTTCAGCATCATAATGTCTACTCCTTGGCTACAAAAGAAAAATACTACTGCTACCTCTTTAATCCTCCTTTTTTTTGCAGCAAAATATGGTCCCATTACTACATAGTTTGGTTTCAGGATAAGATTGTAAACAGATATTTTTAACATAAGTGATCTTTATTATAATAATAATCTCTTTATTACCACAGGATTTTATATTCCTAAGGAGATACTTCAGAGAATATAACCACCTATTTCTATTTAGCGACAACCCCTCCTTACATCAGTATTACGCTTAACAGATCAATAATGGCTACTTCCCATCAGAAAGTCTGTTTATATACATTTCTCATGCTGCACCACTGTTCAAAATTCTGTATCAGCCATTACTCATTCCTCTTTAGTGTGTTTGGTTTTACTATAACATAAAACCCTGCCATCAAAACCACCACATCACCACAGCTGTCAAAAAGTGAATTACTTGATTACAGAGCAGCAGCAAAGAGACTCAGGTTAAATATATTCTTACTTGCAGTACTGTAACTGATCTTTAATGACTGCATTGGGCATTTTCAATATGTGACACTGGAGCAAACAGAGGTGGAGAATCTGTCTGAGAGAAAGATGGGCAAATCTCTAAGGAGGTCTCAGAGAGGAAGCAGAGTGGATTTGAAACCATGATGTGCATAAAGGGATACATTCAATCATTGACCATGAGAAAGTAATTATTCAATTGATCTTCAAGGTTAAAGCTGCTTTCATTTAAGCTCTGAACAGTCAGGAGCATTGTTACTTACCAGCTGTATTTCAACTGCTGTCACAGGCCTGTGGTTAAGCAACTGGAGCTTTTCTGCCCTGTTTAAAAAGCAAAGCGTAAAACAATTCACATTACTGTATAATTTGAGAATCCCCTCAAATGACTGGTAAGACGCAAATACATTCCTGATAACTTAGGGATGAAATACCACTGCCAAGAATAATTCTGACTGGGTTTGCAGTAGGGTTTAATCACCATGATAATTTGGATATTTTAAATACAGTACTGTGTGTTTAGACATACTGCTGTTGCCACCTCTAGTCTAAGGTGGCAAGGCAGAGGCCCTTAGATCATTACCGTACAAGCGTTAATTAACATGCACTCTCGCTTTGTACAGAAATGCTAAACAACTTGTCAAAGATCACGGACTCATTTGCTACGAACACACGACCACAAGAACAATTATCACAACTAATAAGTTACAATCCATCAGCCAAATGGCAATAACGTGTTTATTCTTTTAGCCCACTGCAAATGCAAAGTTAAAAAAAATTAGCTTGAAACCACTTGGTCACACATACTTTCTGCAACCCATATGGTTTAGGCCAATGCATTTTTTCATACATCATTACAATGGGCTGAGGCCATACCTTTTACACATGTATCTTTGGGCAAAAATGTATCTTTATGTCTGTTCCCATGCAAATCTACCTCTCCATTGTGTTCCTACAACTGTTGGGCACCATGCAGCAAACCAGGTGGGGACTAAGCTGGACTGTAAAGATAACAACCTTTTTCCTGGGTTGTTTTTGACTTGATTCACTGCACAGTCCCACAAAGACTGCCGTGACCACAAACAGCAAGGCAGCAAGGATATAGAAAACGCCAAAAAAACCCCCTCACCAGCCTCAGTCGAGTGCCTGAGTTGTAAAAGTATGGTCACTTATTCTGGTTTAAAAGACAAGTGATAATTCATTCATTTACAATAATTCAAACACTTCTGACTACCTTTCCACACTCTAAGGCAGACAGAAAACAATTCTATGCATTCAGATTTGCAGTCCTGTGCCTTTAGTGGAAAAGCTCTTCAATCAATATTAGCTTCTTCTGTTTTGACTTTAGATATGAACTATGTTGCATCTGTATTTTAATAGCCCAATTCCATTCTCCTCTCCCTACAAGGGGGAGAAGTCAATAAAACTTGTCTGACTTTGGTAGTTAAACACAAAAGGCTTTAATATTCAGAGAGACACTTTAGCACCACTGAAGCCAAAATTCCTGATACATTCAGAACCATCATTAAGCTCACCCAGCCTCACTGCTTTTCTGGATTCATTTTCACCAAACAGCTATTAACTCTACTTTCTCATCAAGGAATCACAAGATCTCACAAATGTCCATTTAAACACTTTCCTCATTAAAATAGAAAAAAAAGGGGTATGGGGGAAAAAAATTCTTTGACATTTAAAAATCTTTTTTTTTTTTTTCTTGGAAGATGTGATCAAACAAGTATGTTCATTAAATTCAAACCACAACATTTAGGCAATAGCTCTGCAGCCAAAAATTATTAATATTACACCCTACTTAAATACAAATCATTCTAAAAACAAAGTAAAGGCCGGCTGTCATATGCCAGTAACACACATTTCATTAATTTCAGAAGCTCCAAACATTAACATTGACCACATAATAGCAGCATGGCTAACGATCTGAGCCGATCTTTGTGTTTTAGAACAGAAAAGCACAATAATACAACGCTCCTAAAGATGAAACAGATGTTTAAAAGGGTATATGAAACAGTAACAAATGCACTTTTGTAACAGAAACATACAATTGCAGCGTAATAATCACAAAGAGTAAATGAACTTGAGCATGTGTTTTGTTTTTTTTTTAGGAAAACCAAAAAATCTTGAATGATTATTACTTGACACACAGCCTCTCCTAGCAGGCACCTATGTTTATGCAGCATCTCTATTGCACACATTCATGTGTTAAAGTGAGAACTGGCAGGTAACGTGCGTGACCTTCCAGTCTGTGATACAGCAGTGAACTACGATTTTGAAGAATTAGAGCTTGGGATTTATTATTATTTAAAAGGCACGTTTAATGCATATTTAAACTGATTCTGTAAAGTTTACCCTTGGTTTATTAGACCTGTGGATGGCTTTCAGGAGAACACAGATGCTGTAATTCACAGCCCCGAGCTCTCGCATGCAGACATTTACTACAAACGGGTCAGTGTCTGTGCATCTGGAGATACTTCAAGGATACCAACTCTCTTTTCAAACGGCCTCTGACACTGGCTGCCCTTGAAATCTAACACCAGCTAACAGTTTATAACATTGTCAGGCATTTCAATACTTTATCATTCATGTATGTGCACTGGTATATGATCTAAGACCAACGTGTTTAGACTTCTCTCAGGAGAAGCCTTTGACAAGCGATGCATTGCTGTGGTGTATACATGCACACACGTGTACGTGCCAAGAGACTGAACTTAAGGCGGCAGGCAGCTGACACCCAAAGAGAATAAGGCCCTTCATTTATCCACTGAACACACCGAATGAGCAGCGCTAGCATAAAATTTTCCTGGCTTATGTCTCCTGAAGGAAAAATCCTGTATTACCACAGATAGGGTGATCTAACAGACTCTCTTCAGCTAAAACATCCGTGACTGCAAGTGACTTAGTGATGGGAACAGGACTACAGGAGACTCTGTGGCTCAGTGAAGACAACAGCTTTGCTGATACCAAACATCGAGCTTCATTATACCAGAGGGTTTTCTGATGTGTATTCACAGATCCGAAGAACAGAAAACCGTTTCAAAGAGATGACACACTGACTGTTGGTTTTAGACCCAGCCTGCTGGTGACAAAACCAAAATCCTAAAAAAAAAATTTTTTTAATTGTTTCACCTAGTCCCTGAGCCATTCTGCCATCATTTTTATAAAATGCTGGAAAATAATTCTAATCACGACTTTCAATTTCAAAAGAAAAGCCAGCAATTCTAAAATGCAGCATTTGTGAAATATTAACAGTTCACAACAGAAAGCTCCAAGAAATCCTCCTATATATTCATTTACCATTAAAAAGCATATGTGATGCAACATCTTGAATTTCCATTTACTTTACAAATGTACCTATTTTTTTCCTCTCTAAATTTCAAAATTGCAGAAGGGGATAAGGACTTCATAAAGGAGGAAAAAAAAGAAAACTCCATTTTAATCAACCACAGAGCTGTTCAAAATGTTTGTTTAAAAAACAAGCCCAAACATTTCAGGTACCACCCTAACCTTTTAATCTTCTTTTCTACTTCTACAGAACCACATCAAGATTTTTCTCAGTCTTCAGAAGAAGCTTGCAATAAAGTGACATTTGGCACCTGGATAAATGCCAACAAGTGTGCCAGATTTCATATTGATTTCAGATTTCACAGCTAGAAGATTATTTTTGCTGAAGAACAGGAAGATGTTTCTACCTGCACATCAGCATTTGCCCTTCCAAGCAGGGCCATCAACTTACTCCTTAAAAAACCCACACCTGCCTAAGTATGTTCCTAAAGCAAATATTTTAACAGTGGTTTCAAAGTGTTTTCTAAGAAACACTAATTACCAAATTGGTTCCTCAAGCTCCCCGCAGTTATTTGTGTCTTATACAAAGTAAGGATCACTATTCCCATTTTACAGACAGTAAGACTGAGGGGCAACAATTAAAGCAGGGACTGCTTTCAAGGCGTTGAGTTTTGGAGATGTAAGAATGGGGAAGAGATGTGGTGTCGGAGGAGAAAAGGAAAGGCCCTTGAGACAGTACATCGCAGCAGACGTTGCTATATTCTCTGAAGGCTCCACTAAATAATGCTGAAAAAGACTGTATGGTCACAACTCCTGGCCAGACCTCCCCTTTCCTCTTGGAGATTTTGTAATGCCCTGAAAAGGATCTGTCCTTGCATTCACATATGGTACAACTGCAAAAACACAGGAGGATGCTGGGGGGTGAAGGTCCTTT